CCCACTGAACCTCACCTAGTTTCAAGAACTTCGTCGGCTTTTCTGTTCCTAGAATTGCTGCTGTTCTCTTCGATTTCCTGTTGGGTTTGTAGGTGTTCAGAATGGTTTGGTAACTATCTAGCTGAACTCCTGGGATCAGATGACATTTAGGTCTCCTACTCCTCCGCCATCTTGCTCCTCCATTTCCAGAAGGAGCATTTGAACAGACATAGGACAAGACCCTTCATGCAGAACATGGTTCAGGAGTGGTGGGAGGGTCTGGCCAGACAAATTCCTCTCCATTTGCTGACTGGTACATGAGGTCCTACTTTTGGGTCTTTATCCATTTCATTTAGGTGATGCTTTGATATTTCTTTCCCTCCTGTGGCATAAGCACAGGACCTCATCTTCTAGTTGCAAAATCCTGACAAAATCCAGACACCCAGGCGATCGGGATGCCGGGTAAAATACAAATTCTGCACAGGCTACACTTACTCTAAAACATTATTTATCATTTATCTGAATTTTGAAATTAACTGGTTGTCCTATACATTTGCTAAGTCTGGCAACTTTGTCTGGGAAGGGTCATTATTCATTTAAAACCGAGTGTAGGGGTGTCTGGGTGGCTCGGTTGGTTAAGTGTCTGCCTTTAGCTCAGGTCATGATCCCTGGGTCCTGGGATCAAGCCCTGCACTGGGCTCCCAGCTCAGCAGGGAGCCTGCTTCCCTCTCCCTCTGACCCTCCCCACCTCTTGTGCACACTCTCTCTCAAATAAATAAATAAATCTTTAAAAATTGAGTGCCAATTAATTTGTCAGGTTTGTTTTCTTGAAAGCATGTTTTCTATAGGAAGGGGTAAGTCAGTCTATGGGCGTCTATGGAAAAAGGAGTCTGGATGATGGCCTTCGGAGAAAGTCATTATGGAGAAAGAATAAATAACAAAAAAGCAGGAGTTATCCAAGCGGATGGTAGTGGATGGAGGTGTGTGTGAGGTGAAGGATATCTGTGACAAAGGGAACAATATGGGCCAAAGCAGAAAGTGAGAATCATAGTGGTATGAATTTAGGAAATAGGACCAGGCTGCCCTCGTGAGTAGAAAGAGGGAAGCAGGGAGAAGTAAGAATGAGCGAGATGAAGGCCAGTTAATGGAGGTCCTTGAATGCCCTTGAGCTTGAATATTGTCCAAAGGGTGATGGGAAGATTTTGAAGGGCTTTGAAGATGGACTTGCCATGCCACACTTGGAGCAGTGTGGACAGTAGTTGGGGGTGGCCTGGCATTAACTTCCCTATGTTTGCTTTGCTAGTAGAAGGATTGGTATGGAATCTGCCTGCTTCATTCATTTATTTATGCGTCTAATCCCTGAAGGCATCCAGGCTGGGATGTTTAAGGACTTCTGTAATGCTTTAAGGTAGGTTTATAATATGAGTCAGTCCCTTAATAGGTGCAAAACTCATCAGATGCTTAGCAGTGTGGTTAGCGAAGGCCCCGTGATGAATCAAAGCTTCAAATGCCTGAAGATGACTTTCTTTCTCCTTGCAGGGAGAAGTGACCAATGAACAGACATGGAGTCTCTGGATATACTTCTTTAGTATAAGGTAAGAAAAGAAAGTGAAGTTAAACCTTATTAACTGTAAGTGACAACCATGGAACGAGCTTGTGACGTAAGATGTAAACTTTAAATTGCATGGGAATTTCAGTCGTCACTTCCTTGTGGCTTTAAAAAACTTACCCCTCGCATTCATTTTGCCTCCAACTATTTTTTTACTAAAAGCCACATTAGAATACTGCATCCAGCTACATCTTTGTTGGTTATAGAGATTTTATATTACCAGGTCGTGGTCTTATTTCTTTAAAGAAATCAGTAGACACAGCCCAGGGTGTTATGCCCAAGAGGCTGCCTTTGGTCCCGATAGTAGCCTGGTAAGTTGGTCTCTTCGTTCCATATCTTTTTTTTAAGATTTTTAAAAAATTCTGTATCTTTTACTCAAAGCCCAGATACTTGCTAAGTCTTCAGAGAGAGCATCTTTCTTCCACTGGTGGGTCCTCCTTTCTTCCCCAGGCTCATTCCTTGTCTTTCCCCCTCCAACTCTCCCTGAAGTCATGAAGAATTTCCACCGTTTCTTCAGATGTGCCCTGCTTCTTTGTGTCCCTCTCCCGAACTCTGCAGGGGGGAGTCTCTCAGTAAGGATGGCCCTTTTAATTCCCTCCTGGGACATGAAGAATATAGTCCACATCAAATGACACTTCCTCAGAGAAATCTTTTTAAAAATGCCCCGGAAAAATCTCTCTCCCCATACACGACCCTCTTCACATCTCTTTCCTATAACCTCGATCGTATCTTACTGTGGCATGTATGTACACATATATGCTCAGCCCTCTCTCTCGATACACACATGTCACATACCGAGTAGTAGTACTCTTCAGAAATATGACTAGATGCACCGTGCCTGCTGTGTGCATATGTGTGCACACGTATGCTTATGGTACACATGCACGTATACGTATGTATTTATGTATACTTACACGCATTACACACATATGAAGTGAACAATGCATTTAGTCCAATTTCTGAGGAGTATCTGCATTTATGAAGACTATTTCATGGGCGGTGACATAGCTATGTCCTTTTTGTTCCTGATGCCCCTGTGTGCTGTTTAGCTATCCATCACCGTTTTGATCGCATTGGCTTATGTATAGCTTTTGGATAGTATAAATGAATGTACTGTGAATATTATATACTAGTTTTTGTATAGCTATATATTTTTATTTTTTCTGGGTTAATAAATACATATCTTTTGTGAGATATATTATTTGCAGATATTTTCTCCCCATCTGTAATCTGTCTTTTGTTCTCTTAACATTGTCTTTTCAACAGTGGAATTTCTTAATTTTGATAAACCCCAGTTTATAAATTTTTTTTTCAGGGATTGTGCATTTGATATAACTAAGACATCTTTCCCTAGTTGAAAGACTTTTTTTTAATGTTCTCTTCTAGAAGTTTTATACTTTTAAGATTTACATTTAGTTCTATGATCCATTTTGAGTTAATTTTTGTATATGGTGCAAAGCATTAATTGAATTCTCTTCATATCACATAAATATCCAGTTGCTTTAGTATCATTTGTTGAAAAGACTGTCATATCTCCACTGAGTTCCCTTAGATAGTGAATGAACTGCTTAAAAAACACATACTGCCAAAACTCTCTCAAGAAGAAACACATGGGCACCTGGGTGGCTCAGTGGGTTAAAGACTCTGCCTTCGGCTTGGGTCATGATCTCAGGGTCCTGGGATCGAGTCCCACATCCGGCTCTCTGCTCAGCAGGGAGCCTGCTTCCTCTCTCTCTCTCTGCCTGCCTCTCTGTCTGCTTGTGATCTCTGTCTGTCAAATAAATAAATAAAATCTTAAAAAAAAAAAAAGAAGAAACACATAACCTGAGTAGTGCTATATCTATTAAAGAACTCATTAGACATCTGCCTTCGGCTCAGGTCATGATCCTGGGATCCTGGGATCGAGCCCTGCATTGGGCTCCCTGCTAGACAGGGAGCCTGCTTCTCCCTCTCTTCTGCTTCTTCCTCTCCCTCTTCTGGCCCCTGCTTGTGTCCTCTCACTAAAACAAACAAACAAACAAACAAAAACACTTGAATTTATAGTTTAAAAGCTTTTCCACAAAGAACTTCAGACTAGGATGGTTTCACTGGTGAATTCTAAGGAAACATTTAGGAAAATAATAATGCCAATTATAGATAAACTTTTCCAGAAAATTTAAGAGGACAGATTACTCTCTGACTTATTCTGTGGGACCACTCTTATACTGATACCAAGGCCAAACCAAAATATTACAAAAAATAAAATACAGATCAATATTTATTATAAACATACATGCAAAAATCCTTAACAAATGTTAACAAATGTAATCCTACAGTGTGTAAAATGGGCAATATACCACGAACAAGTGGCATTTATTTCAGCAATGCAAGATTGGGTTAAGAGTCCATGTAATTCACCATATTTTAACCAAGACCATACAATCATCTCAATAGATGCAAAAAAAAGTATCTGACAAAAACTATCCTCCATTCCTGATCAGAACTGTTAGCTAACTAGGAATAGAAGAAAACTTCCTCAACTTAATAAGGGGTATTTCTGAAATATCTATAGTTAACATCACTCTGACTGGTAAAAGACTCAATGCTTTATTCCTAAGATCAGGAACAAGGCAAGGATGTCTGATCTCACCACTTCTATTCAACATTATATTGGAGTTTCAAAGAAATAAGGCTAGCAAAAGAGATAAAAGACATCCAAATCGAAATTGGAGAAGTAAAGCTATCTTATTTTTAGGCAAATTGATTATTTATGTAGAAAGTATTATGGAATCTATAAAAAAAGTTACTGGAACAAACGATTGCATTTCTAAATATACGCTGTAAAAAATGTTTACTGTTTTTAATAACATCCAAAAATATCATATAGTTAGGATAAATCTGACATATGGGTAAGAACTATACACAGAAAACTACAAACACTGCTGAGAGCAATTAAAGAAGATCTAAGTAGATGAAGAGTTACACTGTGTCACGGGTTGGAAGATTCATTATTTTGTGATGTCATTTCTGATTGAATTCATGATAAAATTGTAATTATGATTCATGATAAAACACCCTTAAATTATTTACTGAAGTTTGTTCATCTTTCACATCTGTGCTCACTCCCCTTCACCTTCCTTCTTCCTTATCTCAGGCATCTCCAAACTTGCCAATGCATTGTGTGAAAACCCTTTCTAGAGTATAGATTCTCATCAGAAAGGGAGAGGCTGAGTATCTTCCATTTTATTGAGACTTTCAGTTAAATGGGCCAGAATTCATTTTTTTTTTCAGAATTCATTTTTATATCTGCAGGAGGGGAAGAAGTAGCTATGAGATTTTATGTATGCACATGTGTATATATCTGGAATTAAACTACATAGATATCTGTGATTAAACTTCTAGGCTAACCTCTGAGACGTAAAGGGCTTTCTCATTAGTAAAATGTAAGCCAAACAGCCAGCAAAAGCACTGGGAATGAAAGCATTTTGAGCAAGTTGTGAAAGTGTTGGGGTCTTTGGGCTTCACGGACAGCTCTTGTCCTGGTTGGCTTTACTGTCCTGTCCCACTGGGTCAGGATGGCATTTCTGGCCCCATCCCACTTCCCTGGTCCCATCAGTCGAAACTGGTATGGGCTACAAGGACCAAAGAACACCTCCAGGGCCAGCTGGGGATCAGTCAGGAAGAGCCACGGTATGTTGGGCTTGGCCCCTATGAAGGAGCCCAGCTCGTCCATGTATGTGATGTAATCCGTCTGCAAAGTCTGGCTCTGGCCGAACCTGAGGAAAGAAAACGACACTTAGCAATGAGTGTCACAGCTGTTAACCAGGCACTGATTTCTTATTTTCTACCTTAGAAAAATAGCATTTTAGTCAGCGCCTCCCAAATTATCCCACTCCTATTTCTCCACAGCATTGAGTTTACCATTCTTTGGCTATAAATGAGTTGGTTTTTCTTTTCTTTTCCTTCCTAATCTTTATCTAAGTTTGATGTTATTTTGGTCTTCTGCCTCAGGCCTGGAGGGAACTGCCTTTCGTGTGTCCAGATGACTGATTAACTTAGTTCACCCTTTAACACATGGTTATTCTTTATATAACATCGCTTAGATCCGATGTTCGATTTTGGGGGCCTGGCCTCATTTACTTTCACGAGCCCTGAGGAACAGGCTACCTTTTAAGAAGTGATGTTGACTTTGGGGCCTCTCCTTTTCCTCCTCCGTATTCCTATTGGCCATGATACGAAGGGTGGTGAGTGGAGTGGGCTGTGTGACTTGCTAGCACACGGGAGTGCCCACGCCACAGAGCTGTCCTGTGAACTGCGTGAGGTACGGGGAGGTTTTGTGGACTTGGAAGTCTCCAGGTCTTCTCTGCTCTAGACCCTTCCCTGACAACTATTCAGCGGCTCTCAGTGAATGAGGCGTCCGAGCTTGCAAGGGCAGAGAAACTTCTTTACAGCCACCTCTTCACCTGAAGGGGATTCATGATCTAATTATTCTTTCAACAGATTTTAATACGTAATCTGAAAAGGATTTACTTCTATAGAAGTAATTAACATAAAAAATTACATGTAAGTATCTGATGTCTAGCCATGTAAATGACTTTCTACAAATCCCGTTTATGGTGTACTTAAGAACCCATGTTTCGATGACTCAGAAATGAATATTCTTTTAGAAGAAAATAGCAGGGCAGGTGAATTCAGTTTAGTTCTTCATTTGGCTTCCTTATTACAGTGCTCAGTTCCCGGCTAGTTAACTTGCTGGTGGACATGTGGCTGGTGGAAAGGACTTCTTGGAGACCTGCGAGCTGGATAATTCTTTGTTTAGGTGGCCTTTCTTCTGCAAGGTAGGATGTTCAGCAGATCCTAGTTTCTACACAGTAGATGCCAATCGTTTGCCCTCTATACTTGGAGCAACCAAAACTGTCTCCGGACTTTGCCAAATGTCCCCTGGGGATCAAAATCACCCTCAATTGAGAAACTACCCTAGAGTGTAGTAGTGTGCTGCATACACTTGTGTGATGTGTAATGACTGTTATTTTCCTATCAAATATTGCTTGATCATAGCAAGTGTTTCAAAAGTGTGAACTCGGACTAGTCAAAATATTATAAAATACATAAATATTTTCCTACATATAAAGGAAAAACTTAGGATTTGTTTCATTAGCAAGTACAATCTTACCACTTGAGTTTTTTCCCCATTTTCTCATCAATGTCATCCATCATTTCACTTGTAGTTGGCAAGGTACATGATTCTAGAAAAGAAACAAAGAAATATTGAAAAAGATGAAAAAAGTCAGAACTACATAATGACATGATGAATTTTTCTTGGTATTTATGAATTATGTCCCTAAGTGATTTTGTATCAAGAGGAGCTGCCTTGGGTATCTTTAGTAGAATAACAACTTATAGAAATAAAGTCTTGAGAAGGCAGTGAACCCCCTCTGTGAATGGCAAAGCTGGCCTGCAGTGAGATAGTGACAGCAGAGAAGTTTGTGGCTCCAAATCACCCGGTCTCATCTACCTGTGACGTCGTGCAAGGCCCAATCCTTAGCATGCCTGAGATACACCCCATGCACGTAATAGCTTAACAGTTCCTTTGTATTTCTTATTTGCATCCTCTTATCAAAAATTCTTCCAAGAAATAATCTGGTAAAATAGTTCACTCTAAGGTACATGGCAATGGAAACGGACCCATGGAAGGAGGCATGGGTTTTCCATCAGCCTGCAGCCAGAGGGGATCTTAAGGGTCCTCAGAAAACTGTTAGTGTTTTGCTACAGTTGATCAGTGGAGGGGGCATCTGATGGCTGAGAGTAGCTCTTTTGCCCTATAACAGTGGCAGAAAGCTATTGTGACATTCGCGGTGCAGAACACTTCCTCGTCATGGGCAGGATCCTACACAGCCTGCCAGACCTTGCGGTCAGATGTTTGCTAAAATTCTTGTCTGCGCCATTCAATGTTGTGTCCCCAGTGCCAAGACAGAGTGTGGCACATAGTAGTGCTCAGTAAGTATGCGATGAAGGAATAAATGCTATATTTTGCTTCATGTAAATTCCTTGGGTTTATGAACTGTAGCCAACTTTTTTTGTAAAATTCCAGGTGCTTGGCATTGTTGTGCCTTTAAGAGAAAAACATAGTGGAAGTATTTTACAGAAAGCACCCTTATAAATGATTTCATGACAGGGTTTTTAAAATAATGATTCTTTGTGGTACACTTGACATTGCTTACTTATCCATGACATTTTCAGAAAACATTGAGTCTATGATTGTAACATTTTCTTCATTACCTATGGTCTAAGTTTCTATGGACAATATGTTAGGGGAAGTGTATCTAGATTGGCCCAGTCTTTTTGAGCCCTTGAATAAAAAGGCGCTTTAGGTAATAAGGATGATCAGTATGATTGCTGTAAATTAAATCAGTATATTTGAGACATTGCTTTTCTTCATGTAATCCTCATATTCTTGATTTCCTCACAAAAGCTCATTTGTGGCCACTGGAGACCGTGGGGTCTAGAGTGGAGGGAGCAGGAGAGGATGGTCAACAGAGTAGGCGTGGCCTGACTTTGCTGTTCTCTAGCATTGCCCATGACATCCTCAGGGCCCCTCTCACCTTCACAGTGTATCTTGACATTGCTGCTACCTACCGCTGTCTTTCTCTTGCTTAAAGCTTTGCAAAGTACGTGGCGCTTGGGTGGCTCAGTGGGTTAAGCCTCTGCCTTCAGCTCGGGTCATGATCTCAGAGTCCTGGGATGGAACCCTGTGTTGGGCTCTTTGCCCAGCAGAGAGCCTGCTTCCCCCTCTCTCTCTGCCTGCCTCTCTGCCTACTTGTGATCTCTCTCTCTGTCAAATAAATAAATAAAATCTTAAAAAAATAAAAAATCTTTGCAAAGTCCCTCCAATTTCCCTATGAGAAGTCTAAGCTCTGTAACACAGCTCCTAAGGCCCTCCATGGTCTAGTCCCTTTCTCTGTTTCTTGCCACTCCCTGCCTCTGTTTTATATGTCCTTACAGAACACCTTAAGACTTCCCCTATTGTAACATTCCCCTGGCTCTCTTTTAGACTGTGTAAGATCAAGGAGTATGTCTAGTTCCCTTTATATTCCTAGCATCTAGCACAGTACTTGGCATATAATAGGTGCTCAATAAATGTTCACTGACTAAATGAATAAAAGACAGAATGGTTCACCTACTTGCAAACACTTTAGCCGCCCAGCGAGCCTGCAGGTCAGCCGTGGGGATGGCAGCCCCAAGGGACTGGACAAGGCCGATCACAGCCAAGGTAGGCTTCTCCATTTTTGGGGGGAAGATGCCTTTAAACAAGGTGACCTCATTGTTTCTGCTTTTGATGATGGAGTCATCAAGGAAGGGGTAGGCATAATTATAGCCTGTTGCGAAGATGATGTAGTCGATGGCCTCAAACACGGTCCCATCCTCAAACACAGCTGAGGTCTCTGTAAACTCCTTCACGCTGGGCTTGATGGATACGGTACCACACAGGATGCAGGATGGGAGCTCGTCATTGAACACAGGCTCTTTCCTCAGGGGACTGTTCAGAAACAAGAGACAAAGGCTCTTGCTGTAACATACTTTGGTTCCAGGAAATATCTGCAGTAGTTCAGAGCACTAGAACCAAAGCTGAGGAGTGAAACATTAGCATGGGGACCACTGAGCTCTTCTTTTGTGGCAAGTTTTCTTCTGTTGCCTGCAATAGTCCTTAAGAAATTCTGTCTGAGGAGTACTTGGGTGGCTCAGTTAAGTGTCTGCCTTCCGCTCAGGTCATGATCCTGAGGTTGTGGGATCGAGCCCTTCATCAGGCTCCTGCTCAGTGGGGAGTCCGCTTCTCCCCTTGCCCCTCTCTCTGCTCGTGCTCTCTCTCACTCTCTGTCAAATTAATAAAATCTTAAAAAAAAAAAAAAGAATTTCTGTCTGAGCTGCCTCTTTTGGCTCTTCGAAGCTCGAAGATTTCCTTATGAGCACTTACACGATTTGGTGATTCACCAAACGGATGAAAATAAAACTAATTCTTAGACATAATCAGTGGTTCCGAGTACAGAATTTGGAGCCAGGTGGCCCAGGTATATAATCTACCTCTGTCTCTCATGAGTGGCTACTTCTCTGTATTTGTTTCCTTGTGTGTAAAATGCAGTAGTGATGGAATATACCTCATTCTGTTGTTGTGAGAATTAAATGAACATTACCTATAAAGCACTTAAAACAGTGCCCACCACTTGCAAGCATCACTATTATAAATGAACCATTATTCTAAATGAGGTCTTCTGTGAGAAAATCCAATTTGCTTGCTGAGCTGCTTTATTGCCATATTTGGTTTCCTTTACTTTGGTTGCCAAAATTCTAGGATTCGGGCATTTTGGAATTTACTCCAAATATCTCAAATAGTCAGAAAGCTTATAAATCATAGAATCTGTCTATGTATTTCCACACCATTCTCTAGGTCTATAATTCTGCAACCTCTTCTTTTGCTTTATCAGGTGACAAAAAGCAGGTCACAGTAAAGCCTGTTTTTCTCCCCTTGTCCCCTACCCAAGGGAGGAGTGAGAAGGTGTCGTCAATACCTCAGGGTAACTGGAACCTTTTCTAAGATGGAGCCTCATTTAAAAAACTGCTGTTTCTCTGGGGGAGAATGAATGGATTTCCAAATCTACATTTCAGTTGTCTAAAGGGCAAAGCCAGAATATGATTTGCAGTTACTCTTACAAGACAAAAGGTCTTTCTCCCCACCAAGATTTTATTTATTTATTTAACAGAGAGAGAGAGAGAGAGACAGCGAGAGAGGGAACACAAGCAGGGGGAGTGGGAGAAGGAGAAGCAGACTTTGCACTGGGCAGGGAGCCTGACGTGGGGCTTGATCCGAGGACCCTGAGACCATGACCTGAGCTGAAATCAAGAGTCAGATGCTCTACCGACTGAGCCACCAGGTGCCCTGAGACTGCCTTTCTAATTAGTAGGCGTTGGTCTCTGCTCTAAGTATATAAACAAATATTAATTTTACAGTGTATATCAGTTTTGCGAATTGTCAGTGTTTTACATGTTTCATGGGTCCTGACTGTCCTGCTAAAATCCTAGACTGTGTGGTTGAGGAGGAGTGCACTTTAATTGTGAGATTTTCTGCTTTCTGAGACATGTCGATTAACACTACCTGGTTCGTTGCTCTTTAGATGCATACTGGAAAATTTGAGATTAATATGAACCAGTATTTGTAAAGCTTGATAGTTCCCAAAATGCCTTAATTTTTTTTTTTTTACTTTTCCTGCATACCACAGTAGTCTTGATGAGTAGATATTGTTATTGCTATCTCCATCACCCGTAGCATGGATAAGGATTCCTCAAAAGACAATTCATGAATTGGCTCAGCCCTCGAGATTCTGTGCTATAGCTTGTAGCTACCATAAATGAATCTTGCAAGTCAGAGGCATCCGGCTGCCTGCTCCTTTGCCATTTTGTATTTTCCCATATACCTTTCACCACTAGAGTCATTTCAGTAAGATTTTTCACCCCATGCATGACCTCTGAGTATACTGTGTCACTTATGCAGTCCTCACTTTAATCCCAATGACCTTTGTGAGATGACTTAAGTTAGACCTAGAGAGAAAAATTTCAACTGAAACTAGTGCCCCACTTTTTTGGGATTTATCATCCCAAAAGATAAAATAGGAGTTACTTGTAGTACCCATTTAAAGGCATCAGGCCATAGTTCTCATGCTTAAACCATGTGTTCATCTTCTTGACATATAACCAGTCGGAGACAAATGAAGGAAGGGCATTCCGGAGGAAGGTTGCAAAACGGGTCACGTACACCATGTCCCAAGGATAGCCATCATCCCAAACCCGGCTCATGACCCAAGAACCACTTCTGCTGCTGATAATGACCTGGTGGGGAAGGCAACATGGATTTCAACACCACTCTGTAAGAAAGAAGCAGATATGACACAACAGACACATTCTATGGGCCTCTCCATACATTTCCCCAATATCTAGGCAGAAACATTTTTAGAGAGTTGGGTCAAGATGAAAAGTCCATGATTGAAACTAGGTAGAAACAGAACTACTCTGCCCCTATACCCCAGAGGGCTGGTGCACAGTTGTTGAAATAATGAGAGCCTGTCATCTTGGAACAAGAGGGCTGTTGTCTTCATTTGTGACAGGCCTAATCTTCACAGAGTCAGAGACATCAATGGTAGGGGACTAGCCAGTCCAGAGCCTCAATGTTGGTGGATGGTGGTAGTTGCTGGATTGGGTGGGAGAAATATAGCTTAATCTCTACCTGAAATTAGGCTGAGGAGATACCAAGGAGTTAATTCAGTTTTCTGTCCGAAGTCTCCTCTCTCCCTCCTTCTTACACACCCACTCCATGACCTCTGCTCGGGACCCAAACCGTGGCAGCTGTCTCAGCTCTGAGACAAGCCCAGCTGCTCATCTGTTATGATGCTTTTGTGACAATCCAAGGGAATCGGACTTCAAAAAATTCATTAAGTTTTATTTATACTCACTTAAGAATTTGTTTATTGAGCATGTGTTTCCTTAAAAATAGGTTAAGTTATTCAAGGTCTATTGGTCATGGATGATTTAGCCTAGAGTCCTTTGGGAAGCCTTCCTTGACTTCATCCAGGCTAAGCTGTCTTCTCTTTTTATGGTGCTGCTGTTGCCACACCTAATGTCACTGAGGTTTTATCATCTCCTTTCATGCCTGTCCTCTCATCTCCACTCACTGACTGCCCCCAGAAGTCAAGAAGTAGTCTGATTTATTTCTGTGCTTATTTCTAGTCTGACATGATTCTGGCATATAACCTGTGCCCAGTGTTTCCTGAGTCCTGGCTATTGAGTTTTTGGATAAATGACAGCAAGAACCAGATCAGACGTGTCTTTCAGACCTTTGGAATGATAAGCACAATCAATGGCCTTTGTGTGGTAGGAGGTAAGACAGCTGTGAAATACATAAGGGTGGGTCCCAACTAGCACCAACTAGCAACAGTTTGCTTGGAGGCGATCAGAACACAAAATTAAAAAAAAAAAAGCACTCTTATCTATACACACACACACACACACACACACACACACACACACACACACACATACACGCAGGCACGTTTGCCTCTGGGTTGGGCGGAATGTACTTCCTTGCTCGCCCGGGCCATACCACCTTGCTTTCCAGGGAGGATGTCTCAAGTCCTCCCTGACTCAATGGGCACATGCCCAGGCAGAGCCCTTGTCTCAGGACATGGCCAACTGGAGCCTCAGAGCCTCAGCATTGACTTAAGAGGGCAGCGTACCCCAGGCTCGTTTCTCAAAGTGTACCTGTGCAGCCAGACGACTGAGCTCTACGGCAATGTCAGATCCGGAGTTCCCCAGGCCGATCACCAGGACCCTCTTCCCTTTGAAGGCTTCTGGGTCCTTGTAGTCCCTGCTGTGGAGGTAGTGGCCTTGAAACCGGTGTAGGCCTGAGGGGTACATAAGGAGTACTTTGAGTTGATTTTCAGAAGAAATGATGAAGACTCAGTTTTCATTTTTAAAAAAATTCCTATTATCAGTCTTCATTTTAAAAAAAAATCTTCCTAGTTAAAGTGCATTTATCCTTTCAGTGGCTTTTGACACTACACCCCCAACACTACACCCCAAGGGTACTTACAGTGCCCTAAAAAACCTACAGTATGGGAACTTGTATTTTGACAGTAATAATAGCTAATGTTTGTTGAGTACCACGGTGGGCCAGGCCCTCTGCTAAAAGATTTACAGTCTAACATCTGGTCTGGGTGACATCTCTAAGTGGCAGATACCAGTGTCTCTATTTTTAAAAGACAGGGAATCAAGACAATGAAATTAAGTGACTAGTCTAAGGTCCTCTAAATATACTGCCTCTTAACCTTCATGCCTTCAATCCTCTATTCTTCCTGAATCTTACTCTTTTAATTATTTGGCCTATGAACAACATGCCTGCAGATGGGAAGTCTACTATTTTATGGTGGACATGTGTTTCTGCTGCAAGGAAAGAAAGAGGGAAGGAGAAATATTGGTTGCTGTGTATCGCATTTATTTGATGTTTGGCACTTTTGTACAGTAGCAGAGTATGGCGCTACACACACACACACACACACACACACACACACACACAGAAATTTCTTTTTTTTTTTAAGATTTTATTTATTTATTTGACAGACAGAGATCACAAGTAGGCAGAGAGGCAGGCAGAGAGAGAGAGAGGGAAGGGGCTCCCCGCTGAGCAGAGAGTCCAATGCGGGGCTCGATCCCAGAACCCTGAGATCATGACCTGAGCCGAAGGCAGAGGCTTTAACCCACTGAGCCACCCAGGCGCCCCCCACACAGAAATTTCTTAAGTGAATTTACAAAATGTGCCTATAGATGACTTTTAAAAACCCTTCCTCTAAGTAAATACTTCCTCTTCAGGTCTTCATCTGATCTCTGACGAGCAGGTCCTTAATTCTTTTAGCATAAGGGTTCAAGAGGCCAATTCTTACTATATTTCACATATCATCAGACTCCCAAATTTTGTTTTAAAATCTTTGGAAACTTAAGAATAATTATTATCTACCATCTATGGAAAAGATCTAGCTCAACCCTTGACGTTTGTGTATAAATCCCCAGTCTATTGTATATTTTTCCAACTTACCAGGAAAAGAATCAGTTGGTAGATTGGGGTACACATGATGTCCTGAACAAATCATTACAGCATCAAAAATAGCAGATTCCTGTTTCCCATCCTTTTCCGAAACAACTTCCCATTGCCCAGTGACTAAGAAGTTGGGACATTTCTTTATGCTAGAAACCAGGGTCTTAAAGAAAACCAGAAAGAAATTCCTTCTATTGACAATTCTGTGGGTTTTAATTTTTCACTGTGTTTCTGTAGAGGAAATAACTGCCATGACCTCCCTGATCATCGAGAAATATATGGGAAAACATTAAAATAAGGAGTCATAGTGATTCTTCAAATCTTCGAAGGAAAATTACCCAGTGGGGCATATTTACTTTTTTAACATCTAGTTAGTAGGTATGGGGTAGATTACACTGAATGTTCTTGTGAAAGATGCCATGTCATTTGCTCACTACCACCTTCAACTGTCATTCCTGGCTTCTTTCTCTCTGACCTCATTTTCTATCAATTCCATAAATATGGGACTATCTCGGAGTTATCAATCCTTATTTCTCCTTTGCAATGTATAGATACTCTCCCTTGGAAATATTAGCCACTTCCATAGTATGACTATTATGTAAATAAATATAAAATTATATTAAGTATAATAAAACAATAAATAAAAATAAACAAAAAATAAATAAAATAATAAATAAGTAAAACAATTCATAGCTCTTGTGAGATGTGGAAAAGAAAGCCCTTGGTGACAGTAAATACAATCCCAGTTCATAATTTTTTGGTTATTTTTCTCACTACATATGTATGTTTGCATTTAACAGTACTGAATGGAGATTAGGAATTCTAAACAAATGCGAAGCATTATTGTCATTTACAGAGCCCAGTCTTCTCTGCTATGACTGCTAAGTCTCCTGATCTGAGGAACTAAGTGGGGGGAGGATGAGAGCAAGGACTATGTTAGTCATTCATTTAAAATGTCACTCTCCTCATCATGGCAGAACTTCCAAAGAATGCCACAGCTTCTTGAACCACACCTCATTGGCACTGAACTCAAGAAGTCTAAGAATGGACTAGAGAATTTGGGATTGTTTCTAAAACGTGACAGTGTGACGGTGGAATGTGCACTTTGACGGTGTAAGTACATCTAGTATTTTCTGTTGCGTTCTCAAAGCTCTCAGAGACCAGCGGAGAACATGTTCAGAGGAAAAAAACAAGAAGACACAAATACTTTAAAATCCAAACTAATGTTGGATTGGTGAGTTCTCCTAATATTTGGATCTGATTTCTAGAGCAGAATATTACATCCTTGCTCCCCCCCAGCGGATAAACATACTGAGATCAACAGCACCAGTTAGAAGGCCCTTACCTCAAACTGTATATATCTTAAAAGGTTCTTTTTTTGAGCAAATGTCCTTATGTATTGCTGGAGCTTGCTGTGGTGCATATAGTTGGGAAAGTCATCAGGATATGGGAAGTCTGGAAAGCACATCATCTCTTTGGAAGAGTTGGTGAATACGGACTGGTAAATGCTGGCTCTGCCTTCTTCGGCTTGGTTCTAGGAAGAAGGATAAAGCTCAAAAAGGGAGCCAAGCATGGCATTCTCTTCAGTGAATATTCAATTTTAGTTCAACTGAAACCTTTTTAATATGTAAAAAAAAAAAAAAAAAAAAGACATTAAAACAATTCACAGCTCTTGTAAGATGTGGGAAAGAAAGCCCTTAGCGTCGCACATGGCACAGAGTGGGGCCTACACCTTAGTTCTCTTACTCGAATCACCCCCGCGTTAGCTTGTTTGTGGTCTCGTAGAGTTTTCTTTCCTTTCCCAGTCACAGCACCTGGTTCTGATCTCCCGCTCGTGTCCAAGCAACGAGGATGATAACAACACAACTAAGTGGTTCACAGGAGGTGGTAGTTTGGAATCTCCTTGCTCGGCTGTATGGCACTCCGTGAACAATCGACCAGCAACAGAACCTTCTCTTGAAGTGGAGGCTTTGTTTATTTGGCCTAGTCAGAATCAGCTGAAGGGCCCCTTAGATCACAGATTCCTGGCCCCATCCATAGAGTTTCTGATTCAGTGTGTCTGGCCTGGGGCCTGAGAATCTGCATTTCCCACAGTTCCAGGCGATGCTCAGGCTGCTGGCCCAGGAACCAGGCTTTGGGAGGCACTGCTCTATCAGGAATGGACTCTGTGCTTGAGGAGTCCCTGAACCACCGGTTAGTGGTCCTCGCCCCTCACCAAACACACAGGAAACAGATGCCTCAGAACTTGTATTAAATCTTGCCAGTGCATCGTGAAGCCACATCACTGAAAAAGGGCTTTCTTTTTGAGAAGTAGTTGAAGGCTAAATGGAAAAACAAACATTTCCTCTCTGTTTTAAGGAGGATAAAAGTTCACACAATGTGCTGCCTTGAAAGTACTTTAACAAGCTGGCTGCCTCTGCTTCCTCGGAAACCAAAGAAATGCCATGTTCCTGCCAGATTCAAGATCTCCATCTCCCTGTAGCCCCGTACTGACCTCAAGAAGACACGGACAAAAAGTGCCAGAAAGACCTGACAGGCTTATGTCTGGGGTGGGGCTGCTTGTGGCCTCCGTTTGAAGATAAAACTTCTTCTAGTCACGGTTGTTGTGTTTCTTATAAATAGCCAGGCTCAGAGATTTTGACTTTCATAAAAGCCTCACTTTGAAATTTCTGCTAAGGTCAGGAAAAGGGTGATGGCTCGTGCCTGGTGGATTTTGAGGTTTGAGTCTTTCCCATTCACCCACAGCCATACCTTTTGTTGGTGGTTGTGGAAGGAGACATGGGAGGGAGTTTTCTCAGGTGTGGATTGAAGGGAGGGAGGCCTGAGCTTCAGGCAGGGGACTGGTTAACAAAAACATAAGACTGCTGGGAAACAGAGAAAGACCTTGGGTTATTTCCACCGTGAATGAATCTCTGCTCCTTTGCCTCTTGACCGCAGCCAATCATAACAGGAGGAGGAAGAATGTGTACCCTGCAGCCCCCTGGAATTTTCCCTGAAGGAATGTTCTACACCCAAGGAAAACAGATGTATTATATAACAACAGATGATTGCCTCAGAGAGCTCATATTTTAGTTTCAGCATGTGATGGGGTTTGAGCGGGGAAGAAGGAAGTGAGACTCTGCCTCTGGCTGAGAGAGCGCCCTAGACCCAGAGATCCAAGCAGCCGTGGTCACATTGTCATGGCCTGTCTTGGGTTATGACTATGTCCATGTCTCTCGTCTTCTCCACTGGAACGGGGGCAACCAGAGGGCGAGGTCAGAGGCTAATTCGAGAATGTAGTGCATGCATGTCAACAGTCTGCCCTGATCTTCTTTCAGATTCCATCTCTGCTCGTCAATCCCACTTCTCCTAGTCCAAATATACCCTCAAGGACCCGCTCAAAAGTTGCCCCCTCCACCATGCCTTTCCTTGTCTCTTTCTTAACAACCAGGAGTCATCCTGTCTCCACCTCTACTGAGCTCTGATCATCTTTACTGGCCTAATCGCATATTCACTGATACTATAGTTAGTCTAGGACTTGCTTTCTCTGATTTTAAAATGCTGGCTGCCTGTTGTACCTCTCATCTGCAGCTTTCCCTAACATCGTGGCCTATGCACGGTGCACTCCCCAAATAATTGCTGAGTGAATAAATGAATGGGTGAGTGGAACAAACGTCCAGATGGTTCTGGTTCCACTGTTTTCCCCTTTTGTATTGCAGCAGCATGGAAGTCTTCTGAGGACACGAGACCTTAATCTTGGAGTATATGAAACTTAAAACATGCTCCCATGCAGCCTGCTAGTATTTAAACCTTGTTTGGTTTCCATTTTGTGGAAAAAGCACACGGTGAAAAGTTCAGAATTATTAGGTTTCTTTCTTTCTTCTGAAAGAAAGTCCTGCCTAACAGGACTTGCACGATGAAAGCTTACATAACACATATTTCTAAAGATCTCTTTCTCAGAGTGGATTGTATGCACCAAGCAACCTTTCTTAGACAAGAAGAACGGGTGCAGGGTATGAAGGGACTAAAGTTTAGAGTATTTTTATGTGTTTACATGCCCACGGGGCTGTGGAGTAGAATTCTGCTTGTAGCCAGTGGCCTTATGGGAAGGAGCGATCCCGTCTTGCAGATAACCCAGAGTCTTGGCATTGTCCCGATCTGTCGTCTGTCGCTTCCTTCAGTAAACTCGGTGATCCCGGCACTGGTTACTTACAGAGCCCTGAGTGCACTGTCCGCTGCCTCCTCCGTGCCTTTCATGCTGGTCGCTCCTACCTAGAAACCTCTCCCACCTGGTCCTGCACACTTGATGACTGTCCGTGGGGTGCCATTCACAGACTGCAGTGGGACTGTCACTCTCTGGAGTCGTGTCACGTAATAGTCCTCTACTTTTGCTGTCTGAGAACATCCTTTGAGTCTCAGCTACGTGCTCTCCTTGCAGGAAGTTTCCTTGACCTGCTAACGTTTTCGTAGCAAACCCCTGCCCTCTTCTAGATCTCCAGGCACTTGTTTGTTAAATTGACGGCCACCAAGGGCTATCTCGTTGTTGCTCAGTTTTATAACCTCTTATTTGAAACTCTTAGTGCTAGATGTATTTTGGAATTTGTAGAGTTTTGGATTTTTCTCCATAACACTTCTAGTGAGATCTGGGACAGCACCCTGTAGTCAATGGCAAGAAAACTTCTGTAGTGAAACACAGAGTGGCACAAAGGAAGATTATAACTAGCCTAATGTCAAGTTCAACTCATGTTTTCTGACCATTTGACTTCAGGAAAGATTTTGCCATCAAACAAATTTTTGCCCATTTTCTATCAAAGGACTTGTATTATGGCTTACTTCATATTTTTCATCTCAGTACTTGGCACAAAACTGCCCAAAGAGATGTTCAAGCAGCATTTAATTGTTGCTGATGAGATCATAGAGAACCATTTCATGATTTAGGCTAAGCTGGCCACATCTCCCTGAACAAATATAAATAAAGAAAATCACATCCTTAAAAAATAATAGCTCTTGATTACTTCCTAATGGAAATGATCTTATATCTCATATGACACATCCAGGATTATAGCACCTCTCACTTAAAAAAATTAAAAAAGATTTTATTCGTTTATCTGACAGGGAGAGAGATCACAAGTAGGCAGAGAGGCAGGCAGAGAGAGAGGGGGAAGCAGGTTCCCTGCTGAGCAGAGAGTCCAATGCAGGGCTCGATCCTAGGACCCTGAGAACATGACCTGAGCCAAAGGCAGAGGTTTAACCCACTGAGCTACCCAGGTGCTCCTTAAAAAAACCTCTTGAGATGAAAACAAATATGTCCTAAGTTAGCACTGATATATTCTATTGGAGTAATGTATTGTTGTAGTTTGGGCAAGAACTGAGACAAAGAAGAGTTTGGTTACAAGGAGAATGGTGTGGATATGATGTCTTCGTGTCAAATATGTATCATCTACATCCAATCACAATGGCTGGGAAATTCAGGACAGAAAGGATGGAAGTTTCCCTGACCTGGCTTTCAAAGTTTAAAAATGGGTTTTATAATGAATATTTTCTGATTATATCATTTGTCCAACAATGAGACTGAATGGCAAAGGCAATCATTTTTCTCTCTGGTTTTGGAGTTTGCAAACTATTCAATAGTCACACACATAACATGCACAATCATTTATCATAACTTACAATATCTTTGCAATATAGTAGTGAATTATAACATCGCATCCCATTACAGTTGGAAGGCATATTAGAGGATACCTAATCTCCTGCCTTGACATTTGACAAATGAGCATTTGAGGTCCAGAAAGAACAGAAGTGACTTGCCTGAAATTAATCTTTCCAGAAAACCTAAGATTGAGACTATAACTCGGAACTTCTGACTGGTCTAATTTTTTCTCTTCCTTTGTTTCCTTTCCTTTCCCCCACCCACCATGTTCCTAGGTTTTCTGAGCTGTAGTGAACAGGAATAGAATCTATTCTGTTACATGGGGGGAGGCAGTGGTACATTTTTGTTTTTGTTACAAATTGCTGACATTAGCGCCCTTTACAGGCTTGAGATCTGGGCTCTGCAGAGAGCAGGTAACAATGCAGGTAGCAATGTTTCCTAAGCTAGTATGAAGTAGTTTTAAGTGATTGGACAGTAGCATGATGGGAGAGAGAAAATTTTACTTTCCAGATCTGGAGCTTATTTGACTTACCACCCAAGTCCGAATAGAACTGATCAGATTTGACTTACGGAGCGACCCATCTCCCTTCTGTTGGTATCCCAGTGATGTCCCACTCACCGAGAATTTCCACAGGCCTCCAACATCATTGCTTCTCTCAAAGCAGGTGGGCTCCAGCCCCTCTTCCAGACAGCACCGGATGGAGGCTAAGCCACTGACACCAGCTCCGACAATGGCCACTCTCTTCCCCATGGTTGCCAGGAAGGAGGGCCTGGAGAGAGCTTCTTTAGAAGAGTGTCCCTTAACACTTGGGATTTTTCAGTAGGAAGAACCAGTCAAGGTTTGTGCATCAGGATCCTCACCTTAACACAAGAAAACATAAATGCACGTTAACAAGCTATGCTCATCATTTTTACCACTTTTGCTATAGTAAGATAATAAATCTGGCTGTTTCTCCTGCTTATTCAAGGCGCTCAAAATAGCAGAATCATTGAATGTTGGAGCAGGAAGGCCCTTGAAGTTCATCAGTCTAATGCTCTCCATTAAAAATGTAGCAATAGTCACTCCAAGAATGTTAGCGATTACTTCTTCGACATCTCGCAGCTAATAAGTAAAGGAGTTGGAACCAGAACTCAAGCCTTCTGTATGAAACCCACTGTTCCAAATCACCCCTACTCACTTTGAATGCTTGGCTCTAAGAGGTCTTAGTCTTAATGAGCTGCCTTCCTTTCCCCCAGAGAAACAGCAGTTCTTTAAATGTAGAAGAAGGTGGTGTTTAACAATGTCTTTTGATGTAAAAATTGAGGAAGGGAGAGGAGTTATTAGTCTTAAAGTAAAAACTCCCTTTTCCTTGTATATTTCATGGCGTAGAGCCCTGGTAAAACCTGGAAGAGAAGGACTGGGTGCGGTAGGGATAGCAGACCAGGGGAGGTGATGGGGAGCAGAGGAAGAAAGGGACAGGAAGGGCAAGAATGAGGTCCCTGGTTCTGGTTCCAAAAAATAAAAGTAACTGATACTGCTCACCGAAGCTGTAAGGTGAAACCTCTGGGAGATTAAAGGAACAATGGCTCTTTTATTAATTTTTGCTTTGGAACTACAGAGTATATAAACAGAGGCTGTGCACCTGGACTGTTTGTTAGGCTAATTGTGAAAAGAACCCTCAATTTTCTGAAAACGTAGGAGGGCATGATGTGAGGAGCTGAGTTAACACTCGGAGATGTTGAGTTTGTAAAACTAGTGAACTCAGAGGACAGAACCATAAAGCCACTGAGTCTTGTCTCTGGGTCCCTGCCACTGCTTCCCACCTTTCCTTCTGCCCTTCCTCCCTCCCTCCCTCCCTTTTTCTGAGTACTTACCACGTTATGTGTTATAGTAGTCTCTTGGGGATGCAAAGACGAAAAGTCCCAGTGCTGTCCATCCAGAAGCAGATGGTCTAATGGTGAGAGATGATTGATGTCGCAATGGAGGTTTGATTTAGTGAGTGCCAGCCCTCAGGTGGGAGCGTGAGTCCTCCTGAGAGAAGACTAAGAGAGGCTTCAAGAGGAAGTGAGAAGAGCACTGAGTTTTGAAGGAAGAATAGAGGCTGCCAGGTAGTCAAGGAGCAAGGAACACATGACAGGCAGAGAGAAAAACTATGTGCAAATTCACAGAAAAGTACAAGAACTTGATAGATTGAGCTACAATTAGTTCTGTGTTGCTGGAGCCATAGGTAATGGGGATAGCAGAAGGTAAATGGGACATGGAGAGCCCAGATTCTGAAGGATATTGAAGTGCTGCCCTCAATGGGTTGGATACCATCTTCTACGTTATCGTGTTCCATTCAAGAATTCTGAGCAAGGAAGTGACAAGATCAGAAAAGATCAGATCCATATGGAAGCTAGGCAGAACAGATGTCTAGCTAGGCAGCTAGATTCATATGGATAGTGGTTAGAATCAGGAGTACCAGGACTTAATTTCAATAGTCTAGAACAGAGAAGCTGAGGGTCTAGAGTAGAGTAGTGTCAGGGGAATGGAGAATAGAGAGACATAAGAGAGATTTAGGCAATAGATGTTTGGGAACCTGTTGATGGATTATAGGCTTGATGCCTCAAAGAAGGTCCTTCCAACTTTGAATTTTATGCTGTGATTTATATGCATATCACTCTTGATTTAGTGCAGACAGCAGTAACCGTTCTATTTCACAAAGAAAGGGACTTAGTACAGGAATTAGGTTCATGCAGCAGATGGAAGGACCCCAGGAGCAAAAACCAGGGTGCACCTGCCACCGGCCTTATAAGATTACACCTCTGGAGCTACCGTTCGATGGAGACGGGAAGTGCTGTTGCCACCCCAACACCTGCAGGGAGTGGGATGTAGAGTTCGGCTGATGTAAACACACCTGTTGGAAAATGATTATGGATCAACACAGTCACAGAAACTCAGCCTCTGCTTCCCTTTGCCTTCCAAGCCCAGGTATCTATCTCCCTGGAAAAACCTAAATCGCATCCAAACCCTAACTGCGAGGAAGTCTTAGGAATATAGTTTTTAGCTTTCTTGTCCTTGTGCTGGAGGAGGGAACCCAAAGGGGGGTGGGAACAATGTGCCAAGTGTCACTAGGTACTGTCTAGACCAGTGGTTTATGTGGTGTTAAGTGGAAGCCATTCCTGTATTCTTAGACCACCCAACATTCTCTGTTCTTCTCCAGTAGTAACACAGTAAGTCCTTAGCGATTTATTCTCCTGGTTGTGTATTTTGTGGTAATTCTTACTGGCCTTCAGATCTCTCCTCTGTAAAATGCACAAACTGAACTACATAATTACTGAAGTCCTTTCAACATTCCACGACTCTCTTAATTCACTGAGTAAGCCTCAGTAAACCTTTTCAAAAGCAGAAATAAAAGCCAGCGATGACACAAATGCATTGAAATTGCTCAAGAGGATTTCTTGTTTGACATCCAGTTGTCAAGAAGTGGACTTAGTTTGCTGCCGAGAGCATTTGAAAATGGGAAGTTGCAGCTGATAGAACTGAGAATGTAAGAGTCAAGAGCGTGGAACATGAGAGAGAATCTTTGGAGTCGGTGTCTTTGGGAAGAGCTGTTGGTGTGTTGTGTGTCATTTTCCGTCAAAGAAGTGGAATCAAAAGACCTGCTTCTTTAGACAAACATGTTGTGGGGCTCAATCCCACCACCTGGAGAGCAGTATAGGGGCCCTGTGGAATTTTGGTCTACCTCATCTTGCCTGGGAAATCGAGAGGATGGGATTTGGGCTGGCTAACTGTGATAGGGCGTTGCATTTGTCTTGCGTTTGGCCAGAACCCCAGAGTTTATTGAAACAAAGCATATATAAGGGTGTCCTGGGGGGCCCGATGTGATTCGCCAAAAGAGAGCTAATATGGGGCCATATTAGGTCCTGTCTATTAGGGCTACAGAAGTGTCTGCCAGGATAGGGTCCATTCTTCTGGGTCAAGAGAGCTACTGGGGAGAGGTCACCATTGTTTGGGGCCCCTGATATATAAGCCAAGGCATCCATACAAGTAAGAACTAGTTATAAACATGTGCCCGCCCAGAGACCTGGAAGCTGCAATATAATAATACCAATGAAACTAGATCTCCAGCCACCCCACCCCACCCCCTGCTCAGCGCTTTTTTTTTTTTAACCTATCTTTCCCTTCCCTCCTACTCCCTTCCTGGCCTTCCTGGGAGCTTCAGAAGCCTCTCCCGTTGGCATCATGGGGAGGTAGAGTGGAAGCATAAAGTGGTTTAAAAAAAAAAAAGCTTCAGGCCCCCTTCCAGGACCTTATGCTCCCTTGGCATCAGACCTAGGTGGAGGTACTAGAGAAAAGATCAGAACTTTAAATGAAGTCCAAGTTTTTGATCTTCACATGGGAGACCAGATCTTCCATTTTCTGAATTAAGAGTGTAGTTGTGACCTAACAAGACTGCAGAAATGTCTATTACTTGAAAGTGATCAGGAAAGTTATGAGCTCGGGGGTCTTTCCCTCTAAGTTCCCACAGCACCTTTGGGGATACAAGTGCGGGTACTTCAGGTACTTAATCAGATGCATGATAATGTCCCCAGAGTTATGTGATAGATTAAAGTGAGCAAGACAGAAACCGGAGAACATTTTTCAAAGTGCGCTGGAGCTGCCTCTTCAGCTGTGACCCTGGGCGTGATGGAGGACCAGGAGGCAGAAATGGGTTCAGACCAGGGAGAAGGTATTCCCAGGGCTCCTCCCCCTCCCCACCAGCAGGGAGTCTATCTCCTGGTTGGTCCCAGCTCTCCATGTCCTCCGAGAACCCTGCTGTTTTTTTGTAGCTCAAACCACTGAGGCGACAGCAGCCTGAGGTTCACACTAGACTTTCCAAGAACTGGTTGAAGATCAGATTGAGATCAAGGAACATACGTAGACTGCCAACAACTATTTAGAAAGTGTTATCCTCCCGTTCGTTATCTCCTAACACCCTTGTAGGATAATCATGACCGTGATTCTCAATTTACTAAGGAAGAAACGGAGCTGTTCAAGTTAATTAAACCAGCAAACGTTTATGTCTTCATGGTGTGTCTTCTCTAATAGCTTATGAAACTAGTGTCAGAGAACACCGACTTCGGAAAGCATGGAGAAGACACTCCTCCAGAGGGTTGTCCCACAAATATTAACCGGGCCCTTACCGTGTGCCAGGCGCTGGCTGAGGCATTGGGATGCGACAACAAGAGGGGGCAGGGCGCCGGCCCGAGGAGTGCATCGTCTCCGACTCCAGGACACAGCAGGCAAAATGCTCCCCGCCGTGCTGAGCGAGCGTTGGGCTTTACCGCTGTGATAACCGCCGTCGTTCGTGTTGACTGTTCCCTCCTCTGTACCCGGCAGCGGGCTAAGCGTTTCAGACACGTTATTTGGTTTACTTCTGTAAGGACCCGGGGAGTCAGCTAACTGCTCCCTCGACGCTACACGGGAACACCCGAGACTTAGTTTCGGACGCACAGGGTCACGCAGCGAACGGGTGCTGGGACCGTGACGCTTTGCCGGCTCCTCTCGAGGGGAGCACGAGTAGGGGAAGCTGTGGACGTGCCCCGAGCATTTGTTAGGTCGGGCACCACGGCAGGACGTAAGGACGGACACAGGCCGCACACATCGCTGCTGCGGGTACCGTTCTGACGGTGACCCGCACTGCGGCAGGGGCTTATGAAAGGCTCAAACTCAGAAGGGCAACGCGTTTACCCTGCGGGAAGGGGCTGGAGGAAGGTTTGCATCACTGTTTGTCTTGAAGCATGAGAAGA